TTCCGTGTCCGGCAACGGATCGCAACCCTCAGGGTTGCCCCCGTACCGGACCAGGGACCGGCAATGGGATCGCAAGCCTTGGCGTTGCTCCCGCGCCTCGCTCAGCCAGTGAGCGGGAACCGGTCTGTACGTGGGATCCGAACCCTCGGACGGGAGCGCTGCTGCGCTTCCCAAGCGGCGCACTATCCAGTGCGCCACCGGGCCGGCCCGAGACTCTCATTTCTGATGAAGGCCTAAGCCACACATGGAGAAACTGCAGCTCTCCGTTGATCTCTCTCTCTTTGTAGCTAAATAAGTTCCCTGGTAGGAGAGAAGAGCAGCTTCGGCTCTTGATCATGGGATGTGGTTCTGGAGCCTAGCTAGTGCTGAGGCAGGGGTTGCCGGGGAAGGCACAAGAACAGGAGCCCCCTTCTGGGTGAGTGGCCTTTCTTTCTGCACAAGGGCAGACAGGCTGGGGATGCAAGGAACTCTTCTGTTCATTCCCAAGCAAGTTCGTCAAATAGTCCTTCATCCCCTCCTGGCCCTGCCCCCAGGGGCACAAGACAAAGCTGCCTCCCAAAAGCAGGAAGGAGACTTCCAAGACATAAGCATTGCCAGGAGTCTCTAACAAAGGATTGGCCTGCTGTTGTGCTCCTTGACCCCCAGAGGAAGGGCTGCCTGCTTCGTGGAACTTTCCAGCTGTAAAAATCCTCCCTCCTACTTGGGAACTACATGGTAGCTCCTGTGTGCCAACAATGTGCAGCAAGGTCCTGGAGCCTCTTAAAAGGGAACTTACTGCTTTTCTAGTCCAAGCTTCCCATTTCACAGTAAAGGCTCAGGGAGGGAAAGGTGGGTCTCAGCTCTGGTGGGTCTTCCTCACCCAGGCTGCTTCCCGAGGATCCCCCAGCCCTATGGAGAATACACAGTTGGATAAGGAATGGAGCTGGCTCTCAGCTGAACAGGTAGAATGGGTGAAGTGCTCCAGGGGCAATGGAGACAGAAAAGGCTAAAGGAATTCAGAGGAGAGGGCAATGAGGGTGGAGGAAATCCCAGAGGGCCTCCTGGTAGAGGTGGGACTTGGGCTGCATTTTGAAGAATCAGGAACAGAATTCCTGGCAAGAGGAATTTGTCAGCAAGGTCATTAAAGCTACAGGTTTAATGTCCTCTCCAAGGTTACACAGCTAGTGAAAGGCAGAGCACTGGGATGTGAATCCAGGCAATCTGGCTCCAGAATACCTGCTCTTAAGCGGTACACTATGAATGAGCAGAAGGAACAAACGAAATTTGTCGCTTTGGCTGGAGCTGAGATTGGGGTGGGTCCCGTTGTGGCCCAGCACATTGGAGGGGTTGACACACTGGAGGGCCGCATTGGGAAGAACCAGGTGACCTCTGTCCTGGGCAGATTCTTGTGGGCTGAGATTTTCTTTATTTTTTTGGTAGCTGGCTGGTACTGAGATCCAAACACGTGATCCTGGTGTTGTAAGGCTGTGCTGTAAGCAACTGAGCTAACCCACCAGCCCTATAGGCTGAGATTCTGAAACCAATGGCCTGCTGGGATGAGGGGGGGGTGGCTGCTGATGGGAAAGTTCACGGTAACCTACCTTGGGTGGGTGGGCAGTGCAGTTTCTCGGCGGGAGAGAAAGGTGGAGAGAGGCCCTGGAACCTGATCCCATTTCTGGGCTCAGCTTTATAAAGGCACAGAAATGGGGTGGGGAGGACCTGGCCCCGTGGGACTCCTGGACTGTGAGGTGGGTTGGAATGCAGAGACCAGGAGTGTTCTCCTGTCCGCCCTGGGCTTGCAGGCCCAGTCCACTGCTCCCCACTCTCCTCGCAGCTGGAGGGTGCTTTCCTGGCAGTGGGCACTGTGATTTTCCAGCCCCCTGCTCCAGGTCGGGGAAGAGGGAGTTACTCAATCAGGGTTTTGTGGATTCTTCCTGTGGTTGCTTTCCTTCCAAACCAGCCAATACTCAGCAGCCAAAGTAATAT